GACCTGAGTTCAAATCTGGCCTCAGACACTTGACACTAGCTGTATGACCCTGGGCAAGTCACTTAACCCTAATTGCCTCACCAAAAAAAAAAAAATCAGAGGGGGATTGCTGTCTGAAAGGGAAAGGAGATGAGGAGAAACACAGAGGGGAAAATCTAAGTGATACAAAGACAAAAGAATCAAAATTTATGAAAAAATAAGCAATGAACATGAAGGAGATTTATATGAACTATTGAAAAATCAAATAATCAGAACGAAGGAAACAGTATGCACAATAATTACAACAATGTAAATGAAAAAAAAAACAGCAAATTGATACTAAATTTCATGTGATTATAATCACCAAACGACTCCAAAGAAGAGATATGAGAATGCATAGCTTCCCTCCCCTCCTTGCAGAGTTGAAGGACAAGGGGTAGAGAATGCTGCCTGTACTATTAGACAGGGCAGTTAGAGGTAGCTCAGCGGAGAGAGTTTCAGGCCTCGAGTTAGGAAGACCTGAGTCTGTGTGACCCTGGGCAAGTCACTTAACCCTGTTTACTTCAGTTTCCTCCTCTGTAAAATTAGCTGGAGAAGGAAATGGCAAACCACTCCAGTATCTGCCAAGAAAACACCAAATGGGGTCACAAAGAGTAGACATGACTGAAACAACTGAACAGTAACTGTAAAATATGTTAATTTTGTGGAATTGCTTTTTTTTTTCTTGTGTGTTTCTATTTTGAAGGATGACCCTCTGGAAGTGGGAAAGGAGAAAGATATAATGGAAAATTAAGGTGCTATAAAAACAAAAGATGTCAGTTTTTAAATGGGAAACATCAGCAATGAGACTAATTATGATGATTTGGTAACCTTAACAAAATAGCAGGGTACAAAATAAGTCCATAGAAATAATGAGCATTTTGGTAATTTGGCTAACATCCAGGATGAAAAAGAAATAGAAAGGCAAATTCCTCTTAAAATAAATACAAAAGACATATACTATCTGGGATTTAACCTACTTACCATAGTGCCTACCATAGGCTTTAAGAAATAGAACTGCAGAAAGAGTCTTTACAGAAATAAAGACCTATGTAATTGATGAGATGGTTAATATTCATGGATGAGCCATGCCAATATAATAAAAATGACAATACTACTGAAATCTACATATTTGGAACCATTCCAGTTAAGCAAGGGGATACATTATAGAACTAAACAAAGTAATAAAATTTAATGGGTGGAACGGAATTTCTAGGATCTCTTTTTTTTTTTCTTTTTGTGCTTTTTGGTGAGGCAATTGGGGTTAAGTGACTTGCCCAGGGTCACACAGCCAGTAAGTGTTAAGTGTCTGAGGCTGGATTTGAACTCAGGTCCTCCTGATTCCAATGCCAGAGCTCTATTCACTGCGCCATCTAGCTGCCCCAAGGATCTCAATTTTCAAAAAACAATGAAGAGGCCTAGTATTACCAGATTTCAAATTATGGAAGATAATTTAGAATTATATAAGAAAAGTTACTAAATGGTCCATATTACTTGATCCAAAAATCCCATTATGTTTCATTATGTTTAAAGGTCATTGATAGAAATTAAGGGTCTATATCAGGGGTGAGGAACTGGCAGCCTCGAGGCCACATGTGGCCCTCTAGGTCCTTAAGTGCAGGCCTTTGACTGAATCCAAACTTCACAGAACAAATTGAAGCCCCGTATGGCCTCTAGGCCGCAGGTTCCTCACCCTGGGTCTACGTATACCAAAATGGTTATAGCAGTATTCTTTGTAGTAGCAAAAACCTGAAAACAAATTAAGTAGACCTCTAATGCAAAAAAAGATGGCTGATCAAATTGTGGTAAATAAATGTAATCTAATATTATGAACCATAAGGAATGAAGAATATGAAAAAGGCAGAGAAACCTAGGAAGACTTCTAAGTACTGATTCACAGTGAAAAAAGCAAAACCAAAAGGAAAATGTACACAATTACCACTACGATGATGTAAATGGCGCATCCATCAAAGACAACAGAATTTCAGTTCAAACACAGTGGCCAATGGTGATTCTGGATGTCTTCTGATGTCAAAACATACTTCCTTTTAATGAAGAATGGTAACTGTAACAATAGAAAGTCACATGTGCTGTCACTTGTACTTGGTAGATATACAGTCTTAAATGGATTTGGAGTAGGGAAAGGACCACCAAATGAGAACCCAATCCTTAGGAGCATCTGTAATATTCTCTGCCTGCTAACAACTTCCAGACGCTTGTTTCTGGAAATGTGTGGTGATGTGCAATGGAAGAGGTGCTTTATTGTGAGATCCTTATGGCCTCCATCTTGTTAATGGCAGCTAGATGGCTCAGTGGATAGAGCACTGGGCCAGGAGTTAGGAAGACCTGAATTCAAATTCAGCCTCAGACAGTTATTAGCTGTGTGACCCTAGGCAAGTCATTTAACCTCTGTTTGCCTCAATCTACTGGAGCAGCAAATGGTTGCTCCAGTATCCTTGCCAAGAAAACCCCATGGACAATTGGTCCACAGATTTATGAAGAGTCAGATGTGACTGAACAACAAGAGAAATGCTAATTAAGTGTTTGATATCTTTAAGGGAGCTTCATACTTGTACTGGGCTTACCTGACCTGATCTTGTTCGCTTTCCTTTCACACTGATGCAGTTTGTCCTATTCTTAAGTAGATTTGGAATTCTATGAGGATTATCCTTGCAATGGCATAGATCCTTTAGAAAATTTTGATTATACCCCCTTGAATTTCAAATATAAGACTGTTGCAGTCCCATCACAATATTCAGTGGTAGATCTTCTTTGTTACTGTCATTCCCATCCCTTTTTCATTTAGATCATAATAAAGTTGTATTTCAAATATCTTTTTAAAAGAAAGAAAGAAAATGTTGGCGTACCCTGTATTGAAAGGGACACCTGGAGATTTTATCTGATTCCCCAGTTAAATTCCCTGTGTGTCTTAGAGTTCCCTATAAAAAAATTTGAGGGCCCTGTATTATGCAAGGCACATAGAGCAAATTTATATCCTTAAACATGGTCAATGAAGTGGGCCCAGACTACAATATAAATTATACACAAGGGTGGGATTTTTTTTGTTTTTTGTTTTGTTTGTTTGTTTTTTTGGTGAGGCTTTTGAGGTTAAGTGACTTGCCCAGGGTCACACAGGTAGTAAGTGTCAAGTGTCTGGTCTGAGGCCAGATTTGAACTCAGGTGCTCCTAACTCCAGACCCGGTGCTCTATCCACTGCACCACCTAGCTGCCCCTATTTTTTTTTTTAGTATGTGATGATTATGTTTAATAATAACACCTTACAATACACCACACATTTATTAAGCATCTACTATGTGCCAGGCAGGGTGTATGGGTATTCAGGACTAGCACCTCTAATGTGAAGGCTTGCCAAGGCCTTTTCAGGGTTGCTTATCCAATTTTGGTGTCCACCTGATTCACCCAACTCTCACCTGTAGCTCCAAGAAGCTGTGGAATGTGGCCATACCCCAGACCCTAATAAACTGTCCTGGCAGGTGGGCTAAACCAGGTTGAGAGTCATTGAGTTAAGGGAATCTCTACTCCAGACATGTGAAGACTTTCCCTAGAAGAATGAGTGAATGAGAACACTTGTTCCAATGGCCATGAAGGTGGGTTAGAGCTTAGTAAGGCATCCAAGACGCCAAGGGCTGCATCCCAGGCCATCTCACCAGATAGTCTTTTGTCCTGACGCTGGACTTTGTGCAACTCTGCCTCACTTAAATTCGGTTCACATGCGGAGTCAAAGTATCACTTGTGATGTCATTGGTCTTCTTAGAAAATGAAGGACAAACAGCAACAACTACGGGCCAAGCACCGTGCTAAGTGCTGGGGATAACAATAAGAGTAAGACAGTTCCTCCCCTCAATGAGCCTATAATCTAATGGAGGAAGACAACAGACAAAAGTGAACTGAAAAAGGGATAGAGCAGAGGGTACCCAGTGTCTGGCGTGATGAGGGTGGAGTCAAAACCAAGCAGTGCAGCTGGTGGTAAAGGAAAAGTTGGCTCATGTAAGTTTCTTTTTTTTCTTCCCTCTCCCCGTCCTAGAGGTGACTACCATTAGACACGTGTGTGTGTGTGTGTGTGTGTATGTATATATATACATATATATGTAAAATTATTCTATACATACTTTTATTTATCAGTTCTTTTTCTGGATGCAGGTAGCATCTTTCCTCATATGTCCTTTATAGTTAATTTGGTATTTACAATAGACAAAATAACTTATTCACTCAAAGTCATTCTTAAAACAATATTGCTGTTACCACATACAATGTTCTCTTGGTTCTGCTCATTTCATTCTTCATTATTTCATTCAAGTCTTTCCATGTTTTTCTAAAATCATTGAACTCATCATTTCTTATAGCACAGTAATATTTCATCACAGTATATACCACAACTTGTTCAGCCATTCCCCAACTGAAGGACATCCCTCCAATTTCCAGTTCTTTGACACCACAAACAGAGTGGCTATTAACATTTTAGAACATACAGATTCTTTTCCTTTTTCCGTAATCATCTTTGGAAATAGACCAAGTAGTGGTATTGCTGGGTCAAAGGGTATAGGTAGTTTAATTATTCTTTGGACATACTTCCAGATTGTTCTCCAAATTGGTTGGATCATTTTAAATTCCACCAACAATGAATTAGTGTCACAGTTTTTCCACATCCTCTCCAACATTTGTCACTTTCCCCTTCTATCATTTTAGCCAATCTGGTGGGTGTAAAATAATATCTCAAGGTTGTTTTCATCTGCATTTCTCTAATCAGTAATGATTTAGAGAATTTTTTCATATGACTATAAATTGTTTGATTTCTTCATTGGAAAACTACCTGTTCATATCCTTTGACCATTTATCAATTGGGGAATGACTTGTAGTCTTAAAGGTTTGACAGAGTTCTTTACATATTTTATATATGAGACCTTTATCTGATAAACTGTCTATAAATTTTTTCCCCAATTTTGTTTTTCTTTCTTCTTTTCTTCCCATAGGTTTTAATATGTTGTCTCAATATTATCATTTTCTTTAATGAAATCATTGTTTCCATGATCACCACCTGATAGAGATCCTGGAAAGAAAATGTACAGGAATGTTAGACAAGTTTCAAAATTCCCAGGTTAAAAAGAAAATATTGCAAGCAACAAGAAAAAAAAACAACAATTTAAATACTGTGGATAAATAGTCAGGATTTCACAAGATCTAGCAGCTTCTACACTAAAAGACCATAGGTCTTGGAGCATTATATTTCAAAGAGCAAAGGAGCTAGGGTTGCATCCAAGAATAACTTATCTAGCACAGTTGAGTATAATCCTGAATGAAAAAAATAGACATTTGACTAATGGAAAAACTATCAGATATCTATAACAAAAAGACCAGAACTCAATGGAAAATTCAATATAAAAGATCCAGAAGAAATATAAGGGAATCATTAAAGACGAATTATAAGGCACTGATTCAGGTCGAACTGTTTACTTGTGATATGTGAAAATGTTATTAATATCAGTAATTATTATTAGTAATAGTATTCTTAAAACTGTTATTACTAAAGTAGTTTGAAAGAAAGGTTGGGGCAGAGTTGTGTGTGATGAGGTGATTGTGAAAAGCAAAACTGGGCAGGAAGAAGTTAAAAGGAGAAATTATCTCATAAAAACAGGGCATAAATGGAAGAACTAATACAGAGGAAGCAGGTGGGAGTGAAGGGCTAGTAATATTGGAACCTTATTCATCTGGGTTGGAGAAGAAACAACATACACATCTGAAGAGGTTTAGAAGTCTTCTGAACTAGAGAGGTGAGAAAACTGGGGAATAGGGTGTGGGAGAGACTTTTAGAAGGGTGTACAGATTAAGATTAGGAAGATGGGGTGAATAGATAAGGGAGGGACTTTTAGAGGGTTAGGTAAAATAAGGAATAAGCGGGTAAGGGGAGAAGATAAGGTAACCAGGATAGGGTTAAAAAGAGAGGCCGAGAAGGAAAATAGTAAAAAATAAGATGGAGGGAAATTGACAGATAGTAATTATAACTTTGAATGTGAATGGAATGAACTCACCCATAAAATGGAAACAGCAGAATGGATTAAAAATCAGAATGCAACAATACATTGTTTGCAAGAAACACATTGAAAAATAAGAGATACACACAGAGTTAAAATCGAGGGTTGGAGTAGAATTTATTATACTATAGCAGATGCAAAAAAGACAGGGGTCACAATTATGATCTCAGACAAAGTTATGGCTAAAATAGATTTAATTAAAAGAGATAAACAGGGTAACTACATTTTGATAAAAGGTACCATAGACAGTGAAGCAATGTCAGTACTGAACCTATATGCACCAAATACTATAACATCTAAATTTTTAAAAGAAAAGTTAAATGAATTACACATGGAGATAGTACTATAATAGTAGGGGACTTTTATCTCAGAATGAGATAAACCTAACCAAAAAATAAATAAGAAAAAAGTTAAGGAAATGAATAGAATTTTAGATAAACTAGATATGATAGATATCTGAAGAAAATTGAATGGAAATAGAAAGGAATATACCATTTTCTCAGCAGTTCATGGTACCTTTATAAAGATTGACCATATATTAGCACATAAAAATTTTATGGTTAAAAAGAGAAATATTAAAAGTATCCTTTTCATATTATAATGCAATAAGAGTTATATTTAATAAGGGACTAAGGAAATATACATTAAAAACTAATTGGAGATTAAACAACCTAATCTTAAAGAATGAGTGGGTAGCCATTTATTAAAAGGATCAGACCCCTTAAATGAATGGGGATCTTACTCACGATCTAAGATGCCCCCTGTCTCCAAGGCCTTAGTTTTATAGTTCTTGATACCCAGAGACACGGAAGGGGCAAAGTAAAATACAGTCTCATTGGTTGGTAGACCTTGCTCTTGACCCTCCAAGAGAGCTAGAAACGATGCATCAGCATGAGTGGTCACAAGATGGGCAAGGCAAGAGTCCTCTTCACTGACTAAGTGGTCATAAGATGGTCCCCTCCTCATGGCGCGCAAGAGAGTATGGTCTAGAGGTACAAAAATAAGTTGGAAGACTTTCCATATCATGTCGAAACATCTCACCTGTGCTGAGTTTGGTCACGGTGATAAAGCAAAAGGTCTCCTAGTCAGTATTCTTGTGGTTAGGCAAATGAACCTCGAAACTTTTATAACAGGTTATTGAACAGTGAATTTATAGCTTGTAGTTTAAAGTTTGGCACCTGTTATAAGAAAGAATCTCTTATATAATTATTCCTAGATATAATATATGCAAAATAGTATTAGTATATGTAATTCCTATATTAATATTAGTTGACTAGACCTGACTAAATGTGTATTACTAGATAAGCATATCACTATAATCATTACCCCTATGGAATCACACCAAATTGATTAATATTGATTAGAGTAAAATAGGAATACAATAAATCATTCTTCTCATATTACTGCCTTAAGCAGTGACAAATACAAAGACAAATATGAAAGGATATATAAAGACAAATATAAAGGGATTTGAATGAATTGTAAAGGAGCTCCACATAAAAACTTTGCAGCTGCATATACATATGAAAGGATGGGAATGTTGACTAGGTTAAGGAATATCATGACTTTGCCCCGCTTAACTTAGTTTTTATGCTAACTTAGCTTCATTTGTGTAACAGGCACAAAGTCTTTTTTGTTCCCAAAGAGACTGAATCAGCCCTTCGTATCTCCATGAGGTTTCTGTGTCAGAGCTCCCCTTAAATGAATTTGGGAGCACAGAATACTTAATTTTGATTAAACAGAAAACCATATAGATTTGCTAACCTTAAGCTTTAGAATAGTTTCTGGAAGAGACCAAAGCTTCTGGTAACTAAGAAGTCCAAAGATAGACTTAAGTTTGTTTATCTAGAAATTACCCCACTCTGTGTTCTAAAGAGATCAGTGATTGGGACAAAGAGTCATCTGCTGGAAAAGAAAGGGCCTTCTAGCAAAAACTCTGAAACAAACCAGACATACCACTATTCAGGAAGAAAGCACAAAAACGGTTTGGGTTCCCCCTGCCCCCAAAGAGGACATCTCCTAGTCCACGACTAAGGGTTGATTCTCTAAAAGAGCTTCAAGGTTTAAACTAAAAAATCGTGGTAGAGCCCACATGGTAGAACTCATTAGGAAGAGGAGCACCATGGCCAGAAGCTGGAACGAATGAATGAAAACACATTTATTGAGAATTTAACTACATGCAAAGCATGGAAACAGAAAAAAATCTCCAGTGGAGTCATGCTTAATCGATCAGCAAAGACTTCATCTCTAGAAGAGTAGCATCTTGCAGAGGTAATGAGTCTAGTGACATAGCATCCAGTGAACATTGCCTTCCCAGTAGAGACCAGGAGGAAGTAGGCCTGTTGTAAGCAATGCAGTGATATCATTGGAGACATCAACAGAACAGCCCTACAAACTCAGGTCATAAATTGTCCCTCTACTTGTGTGCCCTGGACATGCATGTTCCTATGTGTATGCCCTGGCACATGTCCCTTTACTTGTGTAGAATAGCACATTAACCTTGTATGCTCTGGATAGGTATGTTCTCTGTGGATTCCCTTCCACACATGCCTTGCCATATGTGTTTTCTGTGTATGTTCTTACACATGTGCCTCTATGTGTGTGTCAATCACACATGTTTGCTATGTGTGCCCTCCTACACATTTGCCCCAGCCTCAGGTATCCCTTATTTGTGTATATCTCCACTTTCTTGCATCTACTCTTCTAGATTATAATGTGGATATTTATGAGAAAGTGTGTGGAAAGAAATGTTTGTGGAGAGAAATGTTTTATTCCTGTTTTTATTACTGTGCTAGTCCATTAAATGCCTTTGCTTCAAACTCATTGTGTCATCTGGCTAATAAATAAAGGTAAACATGTCAGGTGGGGGCTCACAATCTATAGCTTTGAATGTCATTTGCCTCCCTAGATTCTTTTCTGTCTTATAATGAGTTTACCTTCTAGGTAACAATCAACCTGCCGTTAATGGATTTCTGGAGTGCAGTTGGTTACATGTGAATGTGCAGGCTGTTTTGACATTAGTATGACCTCCTGTTCACAGACAAAATCAAACTACTCAGAGAGCAGAGCTTCCTCTCTGTACCCAAGCACATTCACCTTGTCCTCACAACAGCTCCTCCCCTTTGTTTAAAGTTGCATCCTTACTGCCCAGTTTAGACCAAAGGAATTGCTACAGATAAGGACATAGCGGTCTTACCCAGTTCCTTCGTCTGGTTCTTAGTCTGAAAAGCCATGTGGTACAACCCCATCAGGTCCAAATACTTAGAAACTCCCAGGATGAGATCTCTGATCTCTGATCCCCAGAGAAACAGCACAAATAGCAATGGGTTTAGAGTGTCTCTCCCCAATACCCTGGCAAGAAGCTGGGAAAGTCAGGTGGTTGTTACCAGGGGCTGCACCTCTGAAAGACCACTATTTTTATCTTTTCCCTGGGTTGGGGGTGGTGGGGAAGGAAATAGTTTTACCTTGTCTGCAGAAGAAAAGCCTCCCTGAAGAGTCTATAAATTTTCTTTCTGGGAAGCTGGAACATGCCTATGGGTTAGGTCAAGATTTTCCAGCAGTGACTACATCTTTACAGTCACACGGTTGACTGAAAGGTAAAAAGAATCCAGAGGTGCTTCATTGGGAACCCAGAATCATTTGATTTGGTAGAAGGGAATATGCCTCCAGAATTGTTTTTAAAAAAAAAAATTTTTATTATTGTGAACCTAACAAACATTCTCTTTTGCAAAGGACAGACAATAGGAATCATATATGACACTATAAATATCCATTATGTACAGCTGGTTTTTAAAAAGTATTTATCACATTCAACAGAGTTGTTGTAGCACTACTCTGTGTCCTCTTAGAATTTCCTTCTGGTTTATATGTATCTTCATTATAATGTATATGGGTATGTATATGTGTTCATATGTATTGTGTATATACATAAGTACATTATAATGTGTACATATATATTCATTATATATGTGTATGCAGTACACATGTATTTTTGTCCATTTTATTTTATTTTTTCAGTTAACCTCCATCAACTTGTCTCCTAAATGTCAAACTCATTCAAGATTCCTTGAAAGATGTGACGGCACAGAGAACTTTGTTCAGATCATCTGATTATTAGTATCAAGTAAAGCATAGCACAAGGAGATAGTTTACCACTTTTAGGATTGGTCAGCCCAGAGTCCAAGTGGAAGAAGGATTCCCTACTGAATGTGAGATCACCCAGATTCAGTTTATTCATGATGGTTTGCTTATGGCATCAAACCCTGGAAAGCCGCAGGGCCTCCCAAAGGAGATCCACTGTCTGTCAAAGAATCGTGAGAGAGGGAAGGTATATAAGGGTTCGGCAAGTCCTCCTGGGATTCTTCACTGTGGTTTGGAGGGGAGGCCCTGGGGTGGTGAAGGACCTGGCAGGAAAGCACTAGCCCAGGCAGATGCTCCTAACCTGGATGGGCTTTGGGTATGGACCTGCCAGTGGACTGCCAATGGCAAACAGAGGAGCTCAGTTCAGAGGGCTTCATCACCATCACCAAAAGTTTGACCCCTACCTAAGCAACAAACTTTTTCAGTTATTCTGGGCCTCAGTTTTCTCATCTGTAAAATGAAGATCTGACCCCTAATGTCCCTTCTCGCTCCAAGTCTGGGATCCTAGAGGCTTGTGATTCACAGCAATTTGTGAAGGCTATCTACTAATCAAGAAAGGGTTGCAATTAACATTGTAGAGGGAGTATTCACCAATAAAATCGTGGGTGCTTTAAGTACCATAACTATGAATAATAATGGATAGCATTTATGTAGTCAGGCCCAGTGCTAAGTACTTTTAAAAATATCATCTCATTTGATCCACAACCACCCTGGGAGGTAAGTACTATTATTATCCCCACTTTGCAGCTAAGGAAACTGAAGCAGACAGGGGGTTCGATAGCTTGCTCTAAGTCACATGGCTAGTGTTTGAGGATGGATTTGAACTCAGGTCTTTCCGACTCCAGGCCCAGTGCTCTATCTACTGTGCTACATAGCTAAAACAAGCTAAGCTAAATTAAACAAACTTAAACTAAGCTAAGAGTTTTCACATCCACAGGTCTATTTAGTAGGTCAGCAGTAACAACAAACATTTATTAAATCCTTACTATGTGCCAGGCATTGAGGATACATAAATACATTGATAATGTGTATATGTTCATAATATATGTATATAATGTATATATGTATGTGTACATATGCATGTATTGCAAACATACATAAATGCATTATAATGTGTATATATATTCACTCTATATATGTATGCAGTAAGTATATATTTCTGTTCATTTTATTTTTTCAATTGATCCTCCAGCAAATTGTCTCCCAAATATCAAACTCATTCAAGATTCCTTGAACATTCCAATGTGCTAAGCATTGAGGGGTACAGAGGAAGGCAAATGAAAGATAACTAGGTTACCTGTACAGGCTGAGAGGCAGCCAAGAGTACTGGATAGAGAGCTTGCCTCAAAGACAGGAAGTTCAAGTCCTGTTCCTCACATATGTTGGCTATGTAATCCTCGGCATGTCACTTAACTTTTTCAGTGTCCTAGATGACTTTCTAAGACTACATTGCCAACCTGCACTGGGAGAGGGAATTTCCTTGTCCTATAACTCTCTTTACCAATAAAATCACAAGTCCAATCTCCATTCTGCACAGACTCATTTACTTAGTGCAAATTATAGTCCACACGCTTAAGCCTATTTTCTAATTTAAACAGTTTCACATACACAAATCTTATTTTCAGGCACAGCTACACACAGCCTACCAGGTTTTTGAGGTGTGAGACTAAATTAAGGGAAGCAGCAGATTTCACCCAGATGGTGACCCACAGAAAACCTTTAATGAAGGGGTGACCTTATATGGGAGACGCACTCTCTGAGTTAGAGAAAGGGCCCCACCCTCCATGCTACAAGGTAGTAAGTGGTAATAAATAGCAGAACCAAGGGAACAGTATGCCTGATTATTGCAACTATGTAAATGAAGATAACTTTTAAGCAGCAAAAAAAAAAAAGATTCCCGTCCCAAAAAAACTGGACAACAATCATAATAATCCATAAAGCACCCACCCCCATTCTTTTAACAATGATGGAAAACTACCAGAGTGTAAGATTTCATGTACTATCTGTTGTAGTTTGATGTTTTATTTATTCATTTATTTATTTATTTATTCCTTCATTCATTTTAAAGGATTATATCTTGAGGGGAATTTAACTGATAACCCTGCCAGCAGAGTTAGTATGATTATTGAAATAAAATTTATAAACTAAAAAAAAAAAAATAAATTGCTTTCCAAGACAGACGTACAAGGGGATCAGTCTCATCAGTTTATAGGGCAATATAATTTCTTACTAGGAGGAAATCATTTTTGGCTGTATTGGCCAGGAGAAGCTCCATAGGGAGGTTGGACATAAGGTGGATCAACCTTGAGGCAGGATTTAGCTAGGTCAAAGGGAGCAGGGAAGCTTTTCCTATCAGAAAGCCTTAAGATTTCTTTAGGAAGGAGTTCTTCAACTGTACAATGAAGGCTTTCAACTAGATGATTTCTAGCTAAAATGTTCTGATTGCTTAAGAACTTGAGTAAAGGCTTAGAATCAGGAAGGAATATAGAGTGGGGGAAAATGAGGAAAATGTCTATAGTAGGAAGTGGTGCAGAACCAGACTGAACAGACAGTACCAAACTTGGTCCCAAAGACAAGGTCTGAGAATGGACAGTACCTCCCTCCCTTCTTGAAGAAGTGGAGGAGCATAATATTTGAATTGTTTTCTGTGTGTTAGTTTTGCTAAACCGATTTTTTCCTCTGTTTTTTAAAAATTCTTTGTTATAAGGGATGGTTCTGAGGTAGGTCAGGAAAATGAAAGTGATTAAAAAAACTATCAAAAATTTTTGTGATTAAATAGGTAGGGTAAAGGGGGGGGCAGTTGGGTGTTTTCCTGAAATGACAGCAGAAATTGGGGTCGGAAAACCTGACTTCAGGTCCTCGCCCTGCCATTTATGTATGAGCTTGGCCGAGTAACTTAGCTTCTCTGGACCTCAGTTTCCTCGAGAGGTCATTTTTTTTCTCCCCCCCCCCCCCCCCCAGCATTTCACAGATGAGGAAAAGGAGAGAGAAAAATTTGTACTTGCCCAAAGTTACAAAGCTGTTAGAAGCAGGTAGTTCCCCCAGCTGTTACTTAGTTCAGTGTGTTTTCACATTATACAAAGCTGAGGTACTGAGGACATCATCCCTTACTCCCCAGCTCTGGGGGGTGACAAAGCAGCAACAGTATTGGTAAATTCCCCAATCTTTTCATTTGTACTTAGCGTTTTCTAGAGATCATGTTATATGAAGGCATTTATTTCCTGCTCCATCTTCTCATGGGTTTCGTCCAGGTTTTCGATCCCATTGTCCATCCATTTCCTGGTAGCTAGGTGATCTAGGCTCAGAGCTAGTTGTCACTTTGGATGGTGGAAGATACAGGACTCTCCGTGAAGAATCAGTCTCCCTCCCACCAGACTGGAAGACAAAGGAAAGGCCGACAGGAGCAATTCCGTGCTCCCCAAGGGCCCCCCACCCCCATCTCTTCGGCTGGCTCATCCCTGCTCTGCCTCTCTCCTGTTCTCCACCCCCGCACACATCCGGTGCCGGGTAGTTCTTGCTTGTCTTAATTTTATCTCATTCTGAAGGACTCTGCCTGGTACTTTGCATCCTGTTCTAGTTCTCATCCTGACACTGATATTGCGGTTAACCATTTATTGCCCGATATACACGCTACAGATCCTGTCCTCAAGAAGCTTACAGCAGTGGGACCGCTGATATCCGTGGAATAATAAATACAAAACGGAGCGCAACTAAGTGCTCGAATATGTGATGGGAAGCCGGGGTTTTGGATGCAAATAATAAAGTCGATGAGGCTGCCAGGGAAACTTTCTAGGCGTTACCCTTCTCCCCTCATTCCTTCGTCTATGTTTATTGTTCTTGCCTCAAAGAGACAGAGTTCTGTCACCGAAAACCATCCTGGCTTTCGCCTTCCTCATGGGTCCTGCCCAGCCTAAGAGCGGCAGGTTGGGGAATGAGGCTGGGGATGCATGGCGGAAGGTTGGTCTGCAAAAACGGGTCAGGGTCTCAGTGAACTAGCAGGATGAGCTAGACTGTACAGGGGCAGCCACAGCTGATTCAGGTCTCTGTCCTGACCTTTGCTCCCTACTTGTCAAATAAATACAAAGGCCCTGGGGTGGGGAGGGAGGTCTGGGGTGCTAGGAGAGCTAGTCGCAAAGACACCCACTCCTTCCGGGCTTATCTGGGGGCCCCCAGCAGAACAGTGTCCAGGATTCAGGCTGGATGCCAGGGGAGGGAGCTCAGGGTGAGAGGAGGGCCCTGAGGGAGGGGTCAGGCTCCTTAGCAAAGAGTTAATGGGAGAGGGGGAGGGGAGAGGGCGCCGGGACCGGACGAGCCAGAGCTGGGGAGGGTAGCTGGGGATGGTCTAGGGTTGCTGGGTCAGAAGTCGAGAGAAAGAGCTGTTGGGCTGAATTGGGGACCCCGCAGCCCCAGTTCAGCTCGTATGTCTAGACCTGGTACTTCCTCTAGCGCTGGGGACTTTCAGTTTCATTTCATTCCGCGCTTCAGCCCGGGCCCCTTCCGGACAGCCAGCTCAGTCCCCGCCGCCACAATGACCAAAAAGTTCACCCGCGCCAAGCTCCGAGAGACCGGCCAGAGATTCAAGAGTTTTCTGGCCGCCCGGGGCCAGGGCCAGGAAACCAACCGCGAGCGGCTGCGAGATCTTTACAACGAAGACTTCAAAAGCAGGTACCACTGGGGCTTAGCTCATCTTCCATAATCTCTCCCCATTCCAGCCGAAACCAGCCCAGACGACCCCACCCGCACCAGCCTTCCAGCAGCCACAACATCCTCCCCACGAAGTACCTTTCCTCGACATAGCCTGTACTGCCCAAGCCCGCAACTGCAGGGCCCTGTGCCCCTCGAAGGGCGCACACCTCCTATTGTCGTTCCCCACTGCCCACTCCCAACCCTATTCCCGTTTTACCGCTTTGGAGATCGCGCTGCTCAACATCCACCCATTCCAATCAGGGCAAGACTTTAAATCCCAGAGAGCCTTCCTCTCTCTACCCCATCCCCCAGCACCCAGAAAGGGGAAGGCACTAGTTCCGTGCCTAGCCACCCGCGTATCGCCCGAGCCTTGGGGGACGGCAGACCACTGTGTTTATTTGGGAGAGGGAAAGATTAAAAATGATCGAACCCCAAGGGTCTCTATCATCCCGGCCCTGAGACACAAAGCTGTATCGTTGATAGACTCTCTTTTGCCTACTTCCTGCATAGCACAGATTAAGCGCTTAATAAATGTTGTTGACTTGAATTTTGTTAAAACACACACACAAAAGGAGGGGGCGGGAATTGAGCAGGCTGGATAGGTTCTTTTCCTTGGGAACCTCAACACCAAAAATGCAAAAATTTCCCAGTTATTGAATTGGGGACTCACTCTTAGGGTGCGGTTGTTCATTTATGCAGACCAGCACATCCAATGGATTTAGCTGTGCCAATGACTTTACTACGGTTGCTAAAACCCGCTTTTTAAGAAGGGGGGGGACCGCGGGACAGCACGACAGGTTTAGTTTATTATATTCAGGTGAAGTAAATCACAAGTACACTGCCAACTTCTCATAGGATTTAGAGCTCAGAAATTTAGTACAACCCCCTCATTTTACAGATAAGGAAACTGAGGCCAAAAGAAGGAAAATGACTTGCCAAAGGTTAAACAGGTCCTCTGATGATTCTCTAGGCAAAGGGTCAGAGTATTAATCCAAAAGGTCAGAGCACCTTCTAGGTACTCCCTATTGTCACTTCCTTCTGGACATTCAGACCTGGCCCAGTATTTTGAGTTATGTCATGTCCTTGTGTGCCTGAACCCCTAGACCCAGACTTGGTCAAATTAGTGCTTTCAGTACAGCCTTGGTTCCCACTGCGATCAGGGTCCTTTCCTGTTTGGGCCCTTTCTCTACGCCTTTGGGCTTCCTCAGCTGGCCCCTGGGCTGGGTCTCTATGAATCCCCATGGGTCTTTGAAACTCCACTCACATTGCCTTCTCCAACGTTAATTTACCACCCCTACCAGTTTCGGTTGGTGGCTTTCTCTGCTGTTTATTTTTCTAATACAGATCCTCCCCCCTCCCACTCTTCAAAGAATCCCCTCTAATCTTTTTACCTTTGTCCTTCTTCTGTCCTACTCTGTTTTTCTTCCTTTAATAGCTCACATTACCCTAGGGTTAGAAATTCACAACATATATTTGCATAGTAAAGACGGTCACCTTGTTTCTACTTAAAATGTCTTAAATACTTTAGACCCCCATATTTACATTCTAATATATGAATCCTCTGACCCTAGTCGGTGGTCCTCTCCTCAGTCTCCACTGTTGGGTGGCAGGTAATGGTTTTAATTAGGGTATTTAGAACTCTTTTGGACCAGCTATATATTATCTCCTTTGTAGCACATTAACACCTCCATTTTCACACCTAGTTTGGAGAAGTGGCCTTTGTAATGAGGAATTTGCACCTTCCCTCCAAGTCATCCTAACATTATTTATTTATTTATTTTATTTTGGTGAGGCAATGGCGGATAAGTGACTTGCCCAGGGTCACACAGCTAGTAAGTGTAATGTGTCTGAGGCCGGGTTTGAACTCAGGTCCTCCTGACTCTAAAGCCAGAGCTCTATCCACTGCGCCATCTAGCTGCCCTAATGCTAACATTAATGAAGCACCTACTATTCACCAGGCATGGAACTAAGTGCTGGGGACATAAAGAAAGGCAAAGATAGTTACTGCTTGGGGCAGTTAGGTGGCGCAGTGGATAGAGCACCGGCCCTGGATTCAGGAGGACCTGAGTTCAAACATGGCCTCAGACACATAACACTTACTAGCTGTGTGACCCTGGGCAAGTCACTTAACCCCATTGCCTAGCTTTAAAAAAAAAAAATAGTTACTGCTCTTGAGGATCTTAAGATATAATGAGGGAGACATCATACAAATAACCATACACAAACAAGAGGCGGATGGATGGATGGATGGATGGATGGAAAGATGGATGGATGGATGGACATACAATATAATTGGCCATCATCTCAGAAGGAAAGCCCTGGCGTTAAGGACGACCAGGAAAGGCTTCTCAAAGAAAGTAGAATTTTAGCTGAGGCTTGAAGGAAGCCAAGAGGCAAAGAATTCCAGGCATGGAGGACAGCCAGTGAAAATGCACAAAATCAGGAGATCTGGTGTCCTGTTCAAAGAACACTAAGGAGGCCAGTGTCCCTGAGTAGTAAAGTACATGGAAGGGAGTAAGAAGACTGGAAATGTGGGAAGGGGCCAAGTTATGAAGGTCTTTGAATGACAACCAGGATTTTATATTTGATCCTGGAGATTACAGGGAATCATTGGAGTTTATTGAATGCCCCCCCCCCCCCCCGCCGGGATGACATAATCAGATTTGCATTTTAGGAAGATCATTTTGTTGCAGAATGGACTGGAATAAGGAGAGACTTGAGGCATGGAGACCAACCAGAAAGCTATTGTGAAAAATCAGGTGTGAGTGAGGTGATGAGGACCTGTGTTGGGATGGTAACAGATGGTAACAGAGAAAAGAGAGTATATAAGTATTGTGAAGACAGAATGAACAGGACTTGGCAACATTGAACCCCTAGATGACCCTTCCTACCCTGGACCCTAATCTTACCTACTCTCATTTCCTAGTCTCAGGTCCTCCAGCAGCCTTGGGGAGCATGGGGACTTTGAGGATCCTGTGCCTACCTTCTCCTCCATGCTCTATGGGATGCGTTTCTACGGGCAAGCTAAGGTCACCAAGGATAAGGTCAGATTTTGCAAGGTGAATCACAAGGTGAGACAATGAAATTCTCTGACCTAAGTTCACCCCTTAATATCCCATCTCATTATATCCCTAGGAGAAGGGAGAGAAAGAATAGTTTAAGGAGGAGGTGGAGTAGTGCTCCTTTCTGTTGATTGATTTTTTTCTCCCTTGCCCACAGAAGAAGAAAAAGAAAGTGAAGCAGGAAGACAGGGTTTTTAGGGAGATCAAACCTCCAGGGTCCAAGAAGTCAAATTCCCAAGTGGCACAGATCTTCCAAAATCGGTAAGTAGGAGTTGTAACAGGGATGGACATGGAGATGAGGGGTGGTGAGGACAGGGAGATAAGAACTAAGGACTGCTGGGTAGGTGTGCTCTGTAGTTAGGATTTGCTCTGCACTTTTTTCTTGGCTTCTTGTCTTTGACAGCTTTCATATTGGAAGGAATAAAGTACTGTTGGGGATGAAATTTCCTCCTTTAATCTTCTCTCTTCCTTCTCTCCCCCTGCCCTTCTTTAAATGATATGAAGGTGAATGAGAGGAGAGGAAAGTGGTTTGGCTTTGACTTAGAGGGGTTTCTAGAAGTAGAAAAAGTGTTGGGACAAATCAGAGCTTTGACTTTTCTGCCAGCTTTCCCACCTGAAGTCACAGAGAGATGAGCCCCAAGGGATGTGACTTCTGTTACCTTAAAGAGATCAGGAACAACCAGGCAGGGAATTTGATAGGAATCCTAGGACTAGTGTTTTTCAGCAAGCTCATGGAGGGCATGAAACCTCTTCTGTAGCTAACAGATGTCACAAATAAAATTGGTAAGAGACTGAGGAAGTGAAATCTTAACGTATTGATTTATTAGCAAGGCTAGCAGTCGCATAACAAATTGGATCCAAGGCCCCTCAGTAGGCATATGGACATTTTGTGGTTGTACTATTCACTTTCCCAGAAATTATATGCACAAAACATTTGTGGCAATACAGAATTTTAAATCACAAAATGGATGTTATTCACAAGGTGGAGCTGGTTTTGTTCTTTCAATTTCCCCCTTTGATCCTTGGGGAAATCTATTCCCCATGGATCACTTATCCAACACCAACTGCATAAAGTTCATTGTACGTTCAGGATCAATATTTTTGGCCATCATCAAATTATTAGAAATTAATTTTGAACGAGGTTTAGTATAACATGTAATACAAAGTCTAATACAAAGCAAAAAAAAAAAATTATGAGGCCTAGGTTAGTGAGTACTCATTTGATTATAGTTGTAAAGCCAAGAAGAGGGTCCTACCGTAGGGGATCTGCATCTTACTTGAAGAACAATTGGGTTTCTAATACAACCTGTTGCATTTTGTAAAGACTTGTTACAATCTCTCCTGATTGAGTAACATAGGAATAACACCATTGATTGATCTTGGCAAGGGCCCCTCCTTGTGAAGCAGTAATGAGCTCTAAAACCATGTGATTTTGCATGAGCATCTGGGCTTTACATGGTTTTTGGTCTATGGGAGGGCGGCCAAACAGCATTTCACATAATTCCCACTTTGGTCTGCATCACAGTTAAAATAAAGCAAGGGAAAGTATATCAGGCCACTTTAAGTGGGTTTCAGCACATAATTTACTAGTAAGAGTTTTAAATTCTTTATACACTCAACCTGACCTGAATTACCAAGGTAACCAAGAAAACTCAGCGAACATAAACACCATGCTAAAGCACTCTAATAACAATAACAGCATGTCTCCTTGTAACCTGATAACCCACTCCCGATGCCCATTTAATCAGTACGTTTCATCTTGAGTCCCAGATGTCCTATGTAGTTGTCCCTTTCTGGAATAGGTCTCATTCTCAGGGTAGCTCTGAAGGAAGAGCTCTTGCTAGTAGATCTCCTTCTCTGGTTCCAAGGCAGTGTCAGAGTTGACTAGGGAGTGAGTAAGAGAGATGTTGTGAGGGTAGAATGGAAAGGAGATTCTTAGGTAATTCTGTTAAAATCTGCCAGCAACAACACAGTTATCCCTTCCACATCATGACTTTCCCCATCCCTGTTTCAACATAACGTGGGTCAGCATAAGAAATTAAATGGGAATTTTGGGGGAGTTTTGCAGAAGCTGTAGATGAAGGCCAGAAGATGACACAGAGCCTATAACCAAATACTAAACTCAAGTTTTACAATAAGGTACTATAAACACCCCATAAAAGAAAAAGAAAAAAAATCAGACTTCTTCTCTGGTACAAAGGGAGGTCCAAAAATTTTTATGGATTTTCCAGATTTCGGGGGTGCTGAGCCCCTAATCCCCAAGATGTGGAAGGGATAACTGTACTCAGTATAATTTAGTATTGAATCCATGAAGGCTTGATTTGGATCCTATCTCTTTAAATTATCAGAGACTTCAAAAGAGGAAAATTTCACTTTCTTTACAATTATCAATGCAATATGTAACATTCTTAATCCAATTTTGAGAACTTGTTACTATAACATACATAAGGCCTGTATATCCCATAAGATACATTTGGAACCCACTCTCTCTCACACACACATTTACATACAGACATACACATACACTCACACACACACACACACACACACACACAGATATACATATATCCAATTTTTAAATTCCCCTTTTGAGGATATTACCAGAAAGAATGATACTTCAAGGACCCAATTTTAACATCAATATGTAACTATTAGCAAGTGGATCACAAACCCAAGAACTCATTTACTTAGTTGATAACAGTAAGATCTGTCCCACTTGCATACTAAACTTCCACTGTTCACCTTCTCTGATTATAGAAATTTGCTATGAAAAGAAAATGAGGAACATGGTTATGATGATACCAAGACTATCCCCTCCAGGACACAGACTAACCTGAAGTCATAACAGGGGAAAACTCTTCTTCCTTTGTTTGATTTAAGGCATGAGTCATATTTAACGGCTAGTCCTGTATTAAAGTTCCACATTATTCACAGGATAGCAAAAGCCAGGCTCAGAATTAACCAGGTGGGAAAATTTCCTGTTCAGAAAGGAAAATAACAAAATTCGGGCAATGAGTCAAGAGGCTCCTGTCTCAGTCCATATAGTAGGGTTGGCCCCTCAACTTTCTCATGCACAGACATCCACCTGTAGCAGTTATTGAGCAACACATGGCATTTCCTTTGAATGGTAGACTATTGGCTTAATGACACTTCAGACAACTCTACCTGAAATCAGAACTTAGAACATCAAAACACAATCCCACAAGATTTTAACTTAAATAGCAAAATTTCACTAATCACAGCTTAGAACTGGGTTATTACTTTTCTTATGTATTAATAACAGTTAACAATGAACCAATATAAGGACATTTCACTTATCCTACATTTATAACTTAAGAATTATTACACTTTGGAGTTTCACACATATACAATGGAGTTTCACACGTATAGTAAATAGTTATGTATTGAAGTTAAATCTGTTTATTAACAGATACAATTTCATAATTCTCATAATTGATGGTCAAATAATCCTAGATGAAACCCACTTGTCACTATAAGCAAACTTGTAAATTTCCCCACTTTGGCTGAGAGGGGTCCTAGTTCCTAAAACTTCAATACTTCGGACTCTCACAACATGTGGTTAGCAGGGCTGATCAAATTTTATGCCTTGAGCGCCCATAGGAAGTCTGTCACAGACAAGGCTAACTTAAGGATTTTGTTAATTTTCTCTCCCAACAAGAAATTATCCACTTTAAAGCAAACATACCCTATTAAATATCACTTGCTTTAAATTTATTTATTTATAATTATAAATTATATAAATTTATATAATTTATAATTATTTGTTAAAGTATAATAGAACTGATTTGTTATTAATGACAATTATTAATTGATTGATCAAATAGAATAAATTATATATTTTACATAATTATATTACATAACTAAATAAAAATAAATTAAAACAATTATTTAAATTTAAAAATAAACAATTATGAATAAAGAGGTGAGAGACTGAGATTTAAGTTTTTAAACATTTTGATCACATTATTTTACCAGCTAAAATCATCATCTAACAGCATCAAAACAAAAGAAGTTACTTTTCTAGTAGCATTTCTGAAACAATAGTTTCTCACAAAAAAATTAGAAACAATATTTACATTCACTAAGATTTATATAATCTTTTGCGTGTGCCTGACACTATGATAAACACTTTACAATCATAAAATCCTCATAACAACCCTGAGAGGTAGGTGCTACTATTATTCTCCCCAAGACTTTTTCTTTCCTTTTAAATCACCCAAAGAGTCAAATAAATTCCTTTTGTTTTCTTAACCCCAGCAGACACTTTAAGAGGGTAAACACTGGACACATCTCACCTTACCCTCGGGCTTTTCAGCCGTAACCCTGAGAAGGTCAAAGAGGACAGGGTACTTGGTAGGCAGGAAGAGCTACATATTTTACTCTGCCCTCTTGGCTCCGCCCCCCCTACATATTAAAAAAAAAAAAGATGCTTAAATTTCTACAAAGGTGTTTAGCATAACTATTTACACTAGACCAAATACAAACAAACAAACAAAAACCATTATCTTCTTTACCTGTCAGTTAGTTTGCATTTGTTAAGTCCTTTGAATTTTCTTTTGTAATCCTAAATTGATTGAGGGAAAGAAGTACTGAAGAAGACATTCAGTATTTGTCAAAGAAGCATTCCTCTAAAAGCTGCTAAAATATTTCTTATCTCAAAGGAATCGAATCTTCTCCAATCCCTTTCCAAACTCTAAATTTTTTTCCTTCACATTAACCTTTACTCACATGATCAATACAAAGGCACTCTGCCTTTCCTCAGCTTTCTACCTACTTTCCTCCTTTCTCTACTTTCTTAAACCTTGTCTGTTTTATGGTCCAGAAAGAGTTAATAATAGGCAGTTCTTAAGTACCAGAGAAATTTAAACTGTAAACTGCTTTCTCTAATGAGTGAAATCACCTTCCTTTCTGCATCAAATCTGCCACTCTCCAGGGAAAGAGTGATAAGAGAGAGGCCTAAGCACTGTTTCCATGTAACTTTCAGAGTTTTATTAACTAATATTTCAGTCACAAATTTATTGTCTAATTATATTACAGTGCCGTAAATTCCATAAATGAGGAAACAAAGATGCCCTTACTTCTTATCTTTGTCTCTTGTCTGCCTCCCCAAATTAGCCAGAGTTAGAAATTCAGAGAGAGGGGGGGAGAGACAGAGAGAGAAAGAAAGTGTGAGCAACAGAGAAAGTGAGAGAGAAACAGCGAGAGAATAAGAGAGAGTATCTTCCTGAAGACTGAAAGTTCCTGAAAAAAATTTTTTTCACAATTTTTTTTTTGCACTCTTTTTCCTTTGGCTGATCAGGACACAGAGAGAAATTGGTTTGATGTACGCAAAACAAAGATAATACAGTAAGACAGACACATAGATGTACTTGCTGGTAAAGTTCCTCCCCTTCATCTCCCACTGAAACCATAGTCAAAAAGTTGGTGGGAGATAAAGAAAAAACCCTGTCAACAAAAGTCAGTGTGCACAATTTTCTAAAAGCTATATCAAATCCTTTAATTTGCAGTAATTGAAAGTCCTTTCTTTGGGCCAGATCAGGAAACCATCTGAATTTTTTTAAAAATATATTTTAGACCAATTTTTACACAATTTAAGAGCTCTGTTTTTAGTCATCCTCTTCTGAATAGGAAGTTTCCCCTGCTCCCAGGCCAATAAGAACTTCCCTAAGGGGGTGTCCATATGAATCCTTTGCAGCTGTAGACCAAGTTTCACATAATTTAATAGTGTGCTTTTTTTTTTTTTTTAAATCATTCTCGGTTGAACTGGGAGCTTCCCCTGGTCCCAAGATATTTGAACTTTTTCCCAGTAGGTTCTCTTTGGAATTCCCTTTGGCATGCTACTCACCAACTGTGTCCTATTATTGTCTTAAGTGCCTTCCCTTGGCTTTGTTCCTTTAAGGGACTCCCCCACTAAGGTAGAGATTTACCTTAGCTTTGTATTTCTTTTTTTTTTTTTTGAGCTAGGCAATGGGGTTAAGTGACTTGCCCAGGGTCACACAGCTAGTGAATGTTTTGTGTCTGAGGCTAGATTTGAACCCAGGTCCTCCTGAGTCCAGGGCTGGTGCTCTATCCACTGTGCCACCTAGCTGCCCCCTTACCTTAGCTTTGAAGATTGAGATCGTGGTTGAGGGGGAGTCCAGTCTCTGAGGCAGTCCTCCTTAGAGAAATCCTTTGATGCACTCTAGGGAGTTCTGAGAGGCTGTCTCAGGTTAGAGTTCCTCTCTCGACCTCCTGGCTGGCCCAGCACAACTGTCTTGAATAAAACTGATAAGAGACTGAGGAAGTGAAATCTGAGCATCTTGGTTTGTTAGCAAGGCCAGTTGCATAACAGATCAGATCCAGGGTCCCTCAGTAGGCACAAGGTCTTTGAATGGCAGTCATCCTCGCCATCCTTACCTCTCCCCTTCCCACCTCCCAGACAATCATCAGACTCTTCCTCCTCCAGGGATGAATACACCCGTGAGAAACATGGTGTGGATGTGGAGGTTGAAGGAGACTACAGGAGCAGAGATGGGCACATTGTTGTCAACCTGGATTTGGACCAGAAGGTGATATTGACCCTGAGGCTTCAGAACGGGGGAAGTTACCCCGTCGTCCTGCTCCGTATCGTTCCGCTTTACCGTGTCTCCCAGATAACTTTCCAGGCAGAGAGCCAAGAAGATGTGCCAGTCACGCTAGATCCTGGTGAGGGGGGTGTGACAGAAGGACATCTTGAGTGGGAAGAGGCCTCTGTTCTGGGGAAAGATTCTCAGAGAGGGTCTTGGATGGGGACAAGGTGATCTCGCAGGAAAGGGGCCATCTGTGCGTTGGGGAGAGTGGCCTTCAAGGCAGAGTCTCTGGTTAGGGTGGGAATGGGGAGTCACTGAGGGAGGATCCTATATGATGGAAGGTCCTCTGTTGGGGGGAGCAATCCTTTCAAAATTGTCTCCCCCCAGGTGACTTCTATGAGCTCCAAGTCCATTGTCAGACCAGCGATGTGGGCCAGTACCCTGCAGTGGTGCTGTGGGAGCTTCAGGGACCTTTGGGATCAAGGATAGAGAAGTCGAGAGTCTTCGAGATTGCCCGATTCCTTGCTGTTGTGGCTCAAAGCCCCCTGGCTAAGCAGCTGAAGCCCATAGCTCCTTACCGACGCAGCCGACCCACGCCACACCCTGCTTTAACCAGCCGAGTGGAAGATGGGGAGAGACCCGACAGGTAACAGCATCCTTTCCGACAGGTAACAACATCCTTTCCTGGGACAAAGATTTCCCAGCCAACTCCCTGCCTCCCAGGACAGGGAGTGCCCACAGTGGTCTGGAAGTCAGGTGTGGATTTCTCTGTTCTAACTTTTTCATGACCGATTGCAGGATGTTTAAATTCTGTGTCTTAAATTTTCTCATTTTTAAAGTGGAGATAATGACCAGCTACTAACTGTGTTACTGAGTCGGTGCAGGCCATGATTACTATAGGCAGGTAGGCGGTGCAGTGAACAGTTTTGGACCTGCATAATGGAAGACCCAAGTTTGAGGCTTACTAGCTACATGACCTCTCTCAGTCTCAGGTTCCTCATCTATAAAAGAGAATAATTACACCTAACTCAGAGATGTTGGGGAGGGGGGCAATCAAATTAAGGGAAATGCTTCGCAAACCTTAATTGCTGTGTGAATGCTGACTTACCATTTTGGAAGAAGGATGAAAGGAGGAAAGATGTATGAAAGAGTTCAAATGCTGTTTGTATCCACAGTGGTTGTCTTATGATGATTATCTTTTTCCCCATCCCTGTAGGGGTCAGGGGTATGACCTGGAGATGACTTTGAGTCTTCCAATGTACCATTGCCCTAACAACCTAAAGCAACTGCTGCCACAACTCCTGAAATCAACCAATTTCAACCATCATAGTGATGTGGCTAAGATCCAGTATGTACCTAACTCTCCTATCCTCCTCCCCAAGCCTCACCACCCCACCCTCCACCTATGTTTATTCCTTTAACTTGGGTCTGCTTCAGTCTCCTCCCTCTTTTGATCCCTCAGGCACCCTCTCCCCTGAAGCCTTGTGCATTCTTCCCACCCCTTTCACCTCAATTTTTTTCCTCTTAGTGGAATGGGTTTGATTCTTTAAGAACCAACTGAGGAATAGCATTAAGAGGCCCAGGATAAATGTGTAGGGTAGAGCTCTCCTGGAGGAATTCATGGAAAGACATGAAAAAGAATGGCATGGTATAAGAAGAAAGACATGGATACTTGTGAGTGACAGCGATGGAGGGAGCAGCCAGACTGATGGATGGGGTGCACCCAAGTATGTAAGAGGGAAAAGGATAAAAGAAAAGCCTGGGCGTGGGGAAGAAGGATCTGCTATATGGCTAAGGCTCCCTTTATGGAAAGGGAGCACAGACCCTGCAGTCAGAACATCTGGGTTGGACATCGAGCTCTGCCAGCTACTAGCCTTCTTTGAGCCTCAGTTTCCCTTATCTCTAAAAATGGAATAATTATACTTGTGCTAACTGTCTCACCTGGTTGCTGAGATTCTCAAAGGAGATAGTGAACAGAGCAAACCTTAAAGCTTCATATAAACATAGGCTCTCGTTATTAGTGTTGCCTCCCCCTCCTTCCCAATTTGACTCAGTTTCCTCATCTGTCAAATGAGCTGGAGAAGGAAATCACATACCTCTCCCAGTATCTTTACCAAGAAAACCCAAATGGGATCACCAAGAGTTGGATATGACTGAACACACTATACCTTCAAGTGTGAGTAGATAGAGATAGGAATTGCTGCTCTTCTACCACTTTCTGACCACCTGTGTGGGCTTGATCAAGTCCCTCAGACTCCTTTGGCTTCGGTTTCCTCATCTATAAAATAACGGGCTTGAATGAGATGTCTCTTCCAGTTTCTGTGATCCCGTGACCCTACTCCTCTCCTCTGCTTCTTGTACCAAAGGCTACAACTGGGAGAGGGTAGCAGATATTGGGGGAAGAAGGTTGATCCATCCTGCTTTCTATCCTAGAAGCCAGCTGAAGACCTCACTAAGCTGGAGGAATTATGAGGAGAAGTTTCGGCTGCTTCTATACCTGGAAGAATTACAGATGGAACAAGATATCCGCAGCTATGACCTGGAGTCTGTCCCCATGATCTTGGACCCAACGGAACGAAACCCACAGCTCCTCATCTTAGAGGTTAGCATTTTGGGAGAGGAGCAAGAGAAAGTGGGGAAGCGCAGAAGGGTGGCGTGGATCTCTATCCCAGGGACAATCAATTAGCCAGTACAAGAGAAAGTGCATTCTTGTGCACTTAAGCACACTGAAAACTGAATACCATGCAGACTAACCTAGAAACAAGTATGGAATAATATATTGCAAATAATTGCGAAACCATGACTAATGACGCACAGAATAAAGGAGTGTTGTAGGGATTGAGAGGGGAGGAACTGAATTTAAGGAGGATTTTAAAACTCTGGAGCACAGAAGAAGAGTGGAAGATGATGTAAGACATAATTGTTGTTAAGTCATTTTTCAGTTGTTTATGACTCTCTGTGACCCCATTTGGGGTTTTCTTGCCAGAGATACTGGAGAGGTTTGCCATTTCCTTCTCCAGATCATTTTACAGATGAGGAACTGAGGCAATGGGGGTTAAATGATTTGCTCAGGGTCACACAGCTAGGAAGTGTCTGAGGTTGGATTTCAACTCAAAAAGATGAGTCTTCAACTCTAGGCCCTGCACTCTATCCACTGTGTCACTTAGCTGCCCTAGACAGAATGAGGATGGCCCTTAAAAATGAAGGGTTCCTGGAGGGTCAAGGAATAAGGGCGATCCTTAGCAGTGTTGCTAAAATTGTCTTACCTTGATAAGCCTTGGTTTCTACCTTCCCTCCAACCCCTGCCTTAGAGTGGGTGGGCAGCTAGGTGGTGCCATAGTGCATAGAGTGCCATGCTTGGAGTCAGGAAGACTCATCTTCCTGAGTTCAAATCTGACCTCAGACACTTCCTAGCTGTGTGACCCTGAGCAACTCACTTAACCCTGTTTGATTCAATTTCCTCATCTGTTAAATGATCTAGAGAAGGAAATCACATACCTCTCCCAATATCTTTGCCAAGAAAACCCAAATGGGGTCACGAAGAGCCGGATATGACTGAAAAACCACTGAACACACTACACCTTAAAGAGTGATTGGATGGAAGAGAAGGAGCTCCAGGGAAGGGGTCGGCAGAGAGTGGCACATCCCTAAGGCTCTGGGACAGAGATGGCAGAGCTTACCCTCCCAAAACCATTTCCTCTTAAAGTGGTAATCTGGTGTGTGTTGCTCCTAGTGGGTGCTCATTGCTATACTTTCTCTCGCCAGGTTCCTGGAGTAGCTGAGAACCGTCCTTCCGTGCTTCGAGGGGACCACTTATTTGCTATCCTAAACTCAGACCAGGGCCAGGATGTGACCACCTATAAGGGCTTTGTGCATCGGGTCGAACTGAATCGGGTCAAGCTGAGCTTCTCTCCAGAGTAAGGTGGAAGGAGGGGGCAAGCCTGGTGTGTTAAATGGTGGGAACCGGAGCAGGGCTTCTTTTCATCCTGGGTCTGGGGGACATGAGATTAGGGAAGTGGGTGGACTTCTTCGCGCATAAAGTAAATTTGGGGTGAGGGGGAGGCTGAGGCTATAGTGAAGATCTTTTTCTTAGCTTGAGGTCAGAGCTGGAGAAGGGGGAGTCTAACAGCCCTAAATTTGGGAGAGGCCAGATTAAGTCTGAGCTTTTCTCCATGGAGTTGTAGCAATATATATACATTAAAAAAAAAAAGGCCTGGGAAAAACAGAGGAAGGGGGTGTATTGCCCATCTAAATCTTGTGTGTTTCCCTGCCCTTTTCACCTTTCCCCAGACTCCTGAACCGGTTTGTGAATGGGATGACCTTCAAGGTGACCTTCACCTTCAACCGGCAACCCCTACGAGTCAAACACCGGGCCCTGCGGTTGGCAAGGCCCCAGAAGCTGGAGCCACTGCTGTTTCCTTCCTCCCCCTCTGGGATCCCTCTCCTGCTTCCCACATTGCAGCTTTTGTGAGCAAACTGGTTGTGGGGGAGCAGATGGAGGGATACTGAGACTGTTGATTGATGGGAGGTGAAGCTGCAGGAAGGGCTAGAAACAGGGAGAAGCAGATGGGAAAATGGGGAGAGGGTGCCTCCGGTCCAGGATTGGAAGGAGCCCACCACAAGTTTTCTAACTTCAGAGCTGTTTGGCTCCAGGGGCCCTGGGGATGGAAGAAGTCACCTAGTGTCAACCCCAGGCATGTACTCCTTGTCTTGTCTTTCCCCAAGGCTGTATGACCGGAGTCTAGAGTCCAACCCTGAACAGCTGCAAGCAGTGAGGCACATAGTTCTGGGTACTTCCCGTCCCACTCCCTACATCATCTTTGGGCCTCCAGGGACTGGAAAGACTGTCACCTTGGTGGAGGCTATTAAGCAGGTCTGAGTCCAGCAGAAACAATCTCTCGTCTATTGAACTCTTTCCACTCAACACCACCTGTTTCTCAAGACTTTGGCGCCCCCTCCAGGCTCCTGTACTAGCTTGAGAATGGGTTGTAATGGGGAGGGTACCATCAGGCCTCGTGGCACCCTGTCCTGGGCACATTCTCAGGATTTCAGACCGTTAGTAAGGGTCTCCAGGAGCTCCTGTCACTGTTCTTCCCACCCCTTCAAAACAGATCCCTCTCTCCTTCCAAAAAAAAAAAAAAGTTCACCAAATTTTAATTCTCCCATAGGTCATAGGGCAAACCTTTGGCCTTGGGGGAACTCAGGCCTGGAGGGAGAAAAACTGGATCTGTGCTCTCTCTCTCTCTTTCCCACTGGGGGTCTGGGGATGGGGAGTTTTTGAAGAATACTGCACCCTCAGGTGGTGAAGCTCCTGCCAGATGCCCATGTCCTGGCCTGTGCCCCGTCCAACTCTGCAGCCGACCTTCTATGCAAGAACCTCCGGCCTCATTTGCCCAGTTCCATCTACCGCCTCCTGGCACCCAGTAGGGACATCCACACTGTGCCTGAGGAAATCAAGGTAACTGGGGGTGGGGGTGGCATTGGTGCTTGAGAAGGTATCTGGGAACCTTGGCAGGAAACGAGTGAGATAAACAGAAGTTTTATGAAATTTAGAACTAAGAATATAGGCTGACCATCTGGTCCAACTCCTTTATTTTATGGCTGAGGAAACTGAGGCCCAGAGAAATTGGATTTCTTCTTGTCTACATCACACAAGTAGTAGTAGATTACCAGAGTCAGACAGAAGGAAAACAGCATCAGTTCAGAGGAGCTAGAAAATGAGAATTGGGAGACAGGGTGAGGTGGCAGTGGGGGGAAGACAGGCTGACCCTAAGCTTGTCCTACCTGATCCTCTGTATCCATCCCCAGTCCTGCTGTAATTGGGACCCACAAAAAGGGATTTACGTTTACCCTGCCAAGAGGAAGCTGCAGGAATACCGTGTTCTCATCACCACCCTCATCACTGCTGCGAGGTGGGGGGTGTGTGTGTGTGTGTGTGTGTGTGTGTGTGTGTGTGTGTGTGTGTGTGTGTGTAGGTGTGTGTGTGTGTGTGTAGAGTGAGAAGAGAGAGGCTGGTTGGTTGGTTGGAATAGGGTTGTCTTTGGCTGAAGCCTGACCCACCTGATACCCCCAGGCTGGTCTCAGCTGAGTTTCCTTCCGGTCATTTTACACACGTCTTCATTGATGAGGCTGGCCAGGCTGTGGAACCTGAGTGCCTTGTGGCTGTAGCAGGTGAGAAGATGGGGATGAAGTGTGAGGGGCTATGGAGATGGGATGCAGAGTCCTGGATGATCAGCTGGGGAGCCCTCCCCTTTGCTTAGCCTTCCCTAGGGTTTCATCCTTCTGATGCCCCTGTCCTCTCCAGGATTGCTGGCCATTAGGGATTCAGATAATCCAGGTGGACAACTGGTCCTGGCTGGAGATCCCCAGCAGTTGGGACCTGTGCTACATTCCTCCCTCGCCAAGAAACATGGTCTGGGTAAGTAAGGGTGGTTGGGAGAATATTTCAGTATCACGATGAATCCAAGATCTCAATGTGGGCATGCTCTCTAATGATTGTGTAAATACCATTATGGCTCTCAGGCTATTCCACTGCTATCCTCTACTTCTGTTGTGTGACTCCAGATTCCTAGCAAGTAGTCATTTACTTGGGGGAGGGTGTGTGTGTGTGTGTGTGTGTGTGTGTGTGTGTGTGTGTGGGTGGGGGGGGGTGTGTGGGTGGGGGGGGTGGGGGGGGATGGACCCACTCTACCTCCCTTTTACACATGACAATTCCTCAGATACATGAAGAAAGTTATCATGTTTGTTTGTTTTTTTTTATGGTGAGGCAATCAGGATTAAGTGACTTTTGCCCAAGGTCACACAGCTAGTTACGTGTCAAGTGTCTGAGGCCAGATTTGAACTCAGGTCTTCCTGACTCCAAGGCTGAAGCTTAATCCACTGCGCCACCTAGCTGCCCCCAAAGTATTATTATAATTATAATTATTTTTATTATTATTTTGTGGTGAGGCAATTGGGGCTAAGTGACTTGCCCAGAGTCACACAGCTAGTGTTATATGTCTGAGGTCAGATTTGAACTCAAGTCCTCCTGAGTCCAGGGCCAGTGTTCTATCCACTGTGCCACCTAGCTGCTTCTAGGCCTCTTTTCTGCAGGCTAAGCATCCCCAGTGTCTTCAACTGATGTTCTTATGATATTATCTAAAGGCATGTCACCTTCCTCTGGCAAAGGGATCTTAGGATTTCTCAGAAACTGGACCACAAGAAAAAGTGTCCCATGCCTTCTCCCTTCACCCCAACAATTTAGGAGTGACCTGTTTCCTATCCCAAAATAGCTCAACAGTATCCCTAACTGACCCCCACACAGGTATTTCTCTGCTGGAGCGGCTTCTGAAGTACAACCCTCTGTACCAGAAGGGCCCCAAGGGGTATAACCCCCAGCTCGTCACCAAGTTATTGCGCAACTACAGGTATTCCCTGCAAGGTCCTTGGCATCCCTTCTCCTCCTCACCAAAACCCACCTCCTTTCCGCCAGTCTCTTCCTGTTGGTTCTCTTAACTGTCCTTCCATAAAAATAATCATAACCACTTTATATCATTTTAGCACTTTATAAATCACAAAAGTACTTTCACAACCAGTATCTCATTTGGTCCTCACAACAACTTGGTGAGATTGTGAGAGCACCCATCATTATCTCAACAGATGGAAAAACAGACACAGTAAAGTTAAATGACTTGCCCATACAGCTAGTAAGTATCAGAGTGAGGACAAGAATGTTGGTCTTCTGACTTCCATCTAGCCTAGTGGGTTCCCCCCCCCCCCCACTTAAAACACCTCCTTCTGGAGAGGTGTTTGCAGACATGGAAATTGGTGTCATATGAAAGCCCCACCCCTAGCCAGTGGAGGTCAGTGTTCACGTATATCAATTTCAGGGGAGCAGAGAGGGTAGGGACAGGGGAATATATCAGAAGATTTAACCATGCAACATGACATTTGTGGGGTACCTTTCATGGGATAAAAAAATGAAAAATAGTTCCTGCACTTGAGCTTATTCTAATAGGCGAATAGGGCCTGTACACAGCTAGGTATGAACACAAATGAGCACCTGATGGCCAATAGAGAGCTTACTTTCAGGAGAAGGCATGGGGGACATCATGGAGGCAATGAATGACACATGAGCTGAGCCTTCAAGAGTGAAGGTGAGGAAGGAGTGTGTTCTAGGTCCAGGGAATGGTCTAAGCGAAGGAATGCATGAATGCATGGAGGCAGGAGGGTGTAGTTCAATTTGGCCAAAGGATAGTGAGTTGAAGTGGGAGTAATGGCGTTGAAAAGGGTGGTTTGAGTAATATGGTCAGACCTATGCACTGAGACAACTCATTAAGTCTGATCTTGTTCCTGGTTCTCTCCTATCCCCCTTCCCCCTTCATTCCCCAGGTCTCACCCTGACATCCTGTTCATCCCTAACAATCGGTACTATGATGGAGAACTAAAGCCCTATGCAGATCAAGTGGACAGAGAACGATATTGTTACTGGGAGGAGCTGCCTCGCCAGGTTGGTGGGGGTGGGGGTAGAGGTTTCTAGGAGAAGAGGGACTGAGCAAGGTCACACAGGTTTTCTTCATCTGTGAAGAGTACATCTACTGTTTCTTTAGGTTGGTGTGATGAAGATTTTTTTAACCTGTTTGTTTGTTTTTGAGTTTTTGGGGGAAGGAGGGTGTTGGAATCTCCCATTGAGTAAACTTGTTTCAGATCCGCACGTACTTTGCAACTGAATCTTAGAGAGTTACTGGTTTGACTCACCCAAGGTCATTTATCTGATATGTGGCAAAAAAAAAAGCTAGAACTTAGGTCTTCCTGACTCTAGACCTGCTCTTAAAATTAAGGCACTTATCAAATGGAGGGAAGGAATTTCCCCCCCATAACCCTTCAAACATCCCTTCCTTGACTAGCCCAGGCTAGCCTCTTTGTCCCACTTTTCACCAGAAAGGGGCAACTTGACCGGAAACAGATACACAGGAAGACTGTGTAGGGTCTTGGGGTGAAGGGGGGAACAGGATATCTCAGATCCTTTGTCTTCTCCCTAGTCCTGAAGAGAGATGGAAGGCCACCCTATCTTGGTCAGAGCTTGGTGGGGGGAGGTGGGGAGAAGAGGCAGGTAAAGATGGAATCTCCTATTTTTAAGGCAGAAACATTCCTACGTGCAAGTTGGCCCCAGTGACGGGGAGGGAAGGCAGGACCACTTTGGATTGACTGTTATTCCATACGCTTATCATCCCAGGGCTTCCCGATCATCTTTCATGGTGTGATGGGCAAGGATGACCGTGAAGGAAACAGCCCATCCTTCTTCAACTCAGAGGAAGCAGCCACAATTGTTTCCTACCTGAAGAAACTTCTGACCCCACCACCTAAGAAAGGCCAAGGCCGGCTGAGCCCCCAGCAAGTGGGAGTTATCTCCCCGTACAGGAAACAGGTTAGACCTCAAATCCCAGTAGGGTGAAATAAGCTCCCTAGGCCCGTCTTCATGATGTCACATTCACCCATAGGAGGGAATGGCTCTATCGTGGCTGTTCTAAGGTACTGAACAACTTCCTTTCCTAGCAGCCCACTGAAAGGAAAAGTCATAATCTTAGAGCTGGAAGAGATCTTACAAAATCATCTCATCCCAAGCCCTTCCCTGCTGCATGAAGAGATGGAGAGGTCAGCTCAAGCACCCACTTTTCTCTTGTTTCAGGTGGAAAAAATCTACCAGTGTATCACCAAGCTGGATAAGGAGCTTAAGGGGCTTGACAATATTAAGGATTTGAAGGTGATGGCCTTTTAAACCCATTTTCATCTTCATCAAGGCCTGGGGGGTTCACTTCCATTCCCTTTTCTGCCCTGCCCTCACTTCAACATCTCTGCACACTCTAGGGGCTTCCCAATGGACTGCCCTGATTTCTCATCTCTCCTGCCCTTTCTCCTCAACCGGTCCTCAAAATCCCACTTCCCTTGCTTGTAGGTGGGCTCCGTGGAGGAGTTTCAAGGCCAAGAGCGCAGTGTTCTTCTCGTGTCCACCGTTCGTAGCAGCCAGAGTTTTGTCCAGATGGATTTTGACTTTAACCTGGGCTTTCTCCAAAATCCCAAGGTTAGGCGGACACTGGATGGGGGAATGGGATGAGCTATCTCCCGCCTGGGGAGATAGCTCTGGCCCTACCTCCCTCCACCCCCAACCTTGTTCTCCCTTCCTTGTTGCAGAGATTCAATGTGGCAGTGACACGAGCCAAGGCCCTGCTTATTATTGTGGGGAACCCTCTGCTGCTGCGCCAGGATCCTGAATGGAACATGTGAGGAACATGGGTGCCTTTACCTCCTTTCCTAATCTTGGGAGAAACCAAATCACAAGGCCTCCCCTATCCCCACCCATAAGTCCTTTAGCCCCTTCCTCCCACCTTAGAGCCTCTCAGAATTACCTAGGGCTAGTAGGGGGATGGGAAGGTGAAAAAAAAAGGGGGACAGACACTTCCCTCTGCTCTGGATTCTAGGGAGGAGGGTGGTCAGTGCTGTAATCTGTAAGGAGAGGACAGTAGCAAGGTCCTAGAGTTATGTTGTATCTTCAAGTACACACACACACACACACACACACACACACACACACACACACACACACACACACACACACGGCAGGCTATGCAAGTCACTTAACCTCTGAAACTCAATTTCACCACGTGTCAAATGGGGATAACCGTACCCTACAATGAACATAAGATGTCATGGTCCCTCCCCTCCCACCTTCCCCAGGTTTCTGGATTTCTGTAAAAAAAATGGCGGCTACACTGGGTGCCCCTTCCCTAGTCTGGAACTAGAGCAGACCCTGGAGCAACAGCTGAGCACCCTGAGCCTTGGCCCCTCTACCTCAGGTAAGGCAGCCCCAACACTAAGAGGTCACACCCCAACCCGTCTCTTGCCCACCTGGCATCCCCTCCTCCTTTTTCTAGAAATTCACCCTCATGACCGTGCCCCGCTGGCAAGTGGCCTTCAGGAGCAAGTGGAACCACCCTGGAGAAATGAGCTTTAAGGAGACCCTTCCTTCTGGGCCCCAGCCCCTGCCATCAGCCAAGCCTCATGCCTGTACTGTTCCAAACACTGAACAGAAGAATCCCACTGGGCAGGAAAGAAGGAGGGAGGATAAGTGAGGAGAGAAGGGAGAAATTTACAAACCAAGCCATCCCTGCCCCTCCTCTCAGCTAGAGATGACACATCAGCCTTCTGGGATTTTTGGGGGGGGGGGTAGGGGGGAGAAGGAAGAGGACTCTGGAAACAATAAAATTTGTTCTAAGCCATGACCTCTGGGCCTCCACAGTCCACCTCCCCACAGCTTTCTGCTGGGCCAGGCTCTCCCTTCCAAAGGAGGGGTAGAACTAAGAGAAAAAGAGGCAGGGAAAAGGACCTTGTCCCCACCCCCAAACCCAAGGGCTGAAGGAGGAAGCAGAGTGGGAGGTGGCCCCAGAAAGCCACCCACACAGGTTTCTAATTTTAGCCACAGCCACAGGCCACTCCCCTCCACCCGCCTTTTCAGGCACCGGGCCAAGACTGACCTCATTCCAAGCCCAGCCTGGGGGAAAAGGGGGGTGGTGTGCTGTGTTGCCCTATATGCCAGCCCCCAGGCTTGGCTGACTCCTTTTCCTCCAGGAAGGAGAACAGGAAGACAGCCTAGGGGAACAAGGTGGGGGGGGGCGGGAAGGAGAAGCCGTGGAACAAACCTTGAGAGCCCCCATAGACCTTTATTGAGTGTCTTCCATCTGGAAGAACAATGAGAAATAATCCTCAGCCGTGCCTAAAGTGGGGGGGGGGGGGGGGGGGGGGAGAAGGAAGCCTCACTCACTGGGAGGCACTGAGAAAGAACTAGGCTCCAGAACTAGTTATGTAAAAAAAATGCTGGTGGGTGAACCTTAGGGCAGGATAAACAGTAAAGACCACTTCCCCTCAGCCCCTACCCCTGCTTCTCCAACTTGGAAAGCACAGTCCTATTTCAGATGGGAGGCAAGCCCTAAGCTCTGACACCCCTCCCCGAGGATCCGCGGATGGTCCCTGGCCTCCTAAAGGATCTTCTCTACTCTCAAGAGCAGGAAAGCATTAGAACACACGTAGCCTTGGGCAGGAAGGGACCAAAAACTAGCCGGATGGAGTCCGATGGTGTGTAGACCTTGGTGGATAGGGGGAGCTCAGAGGAGAGGGCAGCCCCTCCGCCGCTTGTTCTTCCGGACCTGCAGGCCAGCCCGGGTGGCCATCTCAAACACTTCTCGGACGCCCTCCTTGGTCTTGGCGGAACACTCCAGGTAGCCAAAGGCACTGATCCGATTGGCCATGTCCCGGCCCTCCTCTGACCTCACAGGTTCCTGGTGGAAGGGTGGCAGAGGTTAGGAGGGAAGCTGGGGCTTCCCCAGGCTTTCCTCTTGCCAGGAAGCAGAGGTTGAGCTAAAAAATATGGGCCCCAGTGCTTGGGCGGAGGGAAAAGCCAGAACCTAGAATACATCTAGATCTCGAGGGCTTCTGCTACTCTGTTCCTTGGGTCCACACACCCTTGTCCTCCCTCTTTCTGGGAGGTAATCTATCTCCCCAAGAAAAGGGCAGTTTGGCAGTTTATTCTCCAATAAGAATCTGCATCAGCCCAGTCTAGCCCCGTTTCATCCCCAGGATGGCCCTCAGCCCCCCACCTGCTTCATCTTGGCCAGCTCTCTCCGGGTATGCTCATCCTGCCTCAGGTCCTTCTTATTTCCCACGAGGATGATGGGTACATTGGGACAGAAGTGCTTTACTTCTGGTGTCCATTTCTCAGGAATGTTCTCTGCACAGAAAACCCCCACCACCAACACATGAACATAAGAAAGATGTCAGCTTCTATCCCCATACCTGGCAAACGTTCCAGGACAAAACTGGTATCTTAGAGGGCATTCTGGGAAAAGGCAAAACAGGTTGTATCTGTCCCCCCCCCCCCCCCCCCCCACAAAAAAACTCCCACATAGCCCTGGGTGACTTAGAATCTGAAACATATACAGGGTTGTCAGGGAATCTCCCATTCCCCACCCCATACCCTATGCCTCACCAAGGCTGTCTGGGCTATCAATGGAGAAGCACATGAGGATGACATCAGTGTCGGGGTAAGAGAGCGGCCGAAGTCGGTCGTAGTCTTCCTGCCCGGCTGTGTCCCATAGTGCCAGCTCCACCTTAAAGGCAGGCACAGTTAGTGATCAGTCCCCTCCAACCCCTTCCCCCCTCGGGAATCACAGGAGCATAGGTCTAGAACTGGAAGAAAACTGGAGTCCATCTAGTCTAATGCCCTTATTTTACAGATAAGGAAACTGAGGCCCAGGGTAGTGATAGGACTTGCCCAAAGTTAATAGGCAGGGAGCACCAGAAGGATTTGAACTCTGCCTCTGTACTTAGAGCTCTTTCTAAGACATACCAATCAGACTGAGGTTCTCAGCAGAGATCGACTCTGACTAGCACTTTGCTAAACAGGTCTCTGCTGCCAGTTCTATTGGGCATTTTTAGTCAGCAATAGGATGGGAAAGAAGAATAACATCTAGGGTGGGTAATAACTGTTTTCTGGCGAACGGGGAAAGTGTCCTTGCTGTGGAATGGGATGCTCCCCACATCACCTGCTTGCCGTCCACTTCGATATCAGCGATGTAGTTTTCAAAGACGGTGGGGACGTAGACCTCTGGGAACTGGTCCTTGCTGAAGACAATGAGGAGGCAGGTTTTCCCACAGGCACCATCCCCCACAATCACCAGCTTCTTCCGAATTGCAGCCATGGCTGGAGCTGGAAGAGATAAGAGTCAGTGGGGACAGCTGAACCTCGAACAGTAAAGCTCCAATCAAGCCCAAAGCATTCTCTTTGAACCCTATGGAAACAGATACAGAGTTGGAGGGGGTTTGCCCAGGCACATCCTTGTTGTACTGGGGTGTCCTTGCTCTCAGCTTCAGGTCCTGATTTGGAGCTTGAGGTAGGACTAGGGAAAGGGGGTAAGTAAGCCCTCCCAGTCCAGTTAGGGTCACTCCCAGTGATTCAGTAAGGAATCAGCCTTCCCCTAAGGCCAGGGAGATGTGTAGTAGCCCCTAGAATGAAGAGCAGAAAAACAGGGAACCCCCAGGCTGAGGACAGTAGCAGCAGGGACAGAGCTTCCCCCCGCCCCCTAGCAGGGAACACAAGAGAGGCTCAGTCCTGGCAATACCCTCATCTTTGGTGCCTGGGCATCTTGCCCACCCCCTCCCCCAAGGGCTGGCAGTTACACTGGGTCACTCAGCCCCAGGAGGGAGACAATAGCCACACTGTAGCGCAGTCACACACGGCAACTCTGGCTGAAAAGAATTCACAGGAGAATAGCCTTCTCCCTGTAACAGCCCTTCCTGGCTCCTCTCCCTCCAGCCCCCAACCAACTTCAGCTCCGTCCCAGGCCCTGCCCAGTCCGTCCGACACCCCTCCCTGTGACTCAGGCTAGGAGAGTCAGCTTCCTGGGGTTTCCAACACCAACCTCCCGCAACACACATGTCCAAAACAACTCATCACACCTTCCTATCACATAGACCAAGCCTGGCCCAGCTCCCTTCCCCTCAACCAGGAAGAGTCCCTTTCTCCTGTTTCCCTGGGGAAAGAGGCTGACCTGGCCACTTTTAAGTTCCCAGATCTCTTTCTGCCTTGGGGAAGAGGGCAGCTCTGGAAACCTGATGAGCTTTGTGTGTTGAGGGTTGGAGCGAGGATTGTAACCTAGCCGGGAGGGGCCCCAAAAGGATGAGATAAATAAGGCTTAATCTAAGAGCTGTTCAAGGAGGAGGAGACAATTGAGGAAATCTAGTTCTGGCACTGAATCCTGTTGGTCTATGTTCTCAGTTTCACTTATGGGCTGCTGCCCACTACCTCTGCTCCTTCACCCCAAGTGCAACCAGGCTGAACCAACCCTCTCCCCACCACTCCCCTCCAAGTCATTTCAGTCAGCCAGGTTCTAGAACTTTCCTTTCTCTAGGAAGAAACCTTTAATCAGAGTAAAGGAAAAACGTTTTCATCAGTATGGAAATAATGACCATTAGGGTTAACCTGGTTGCAAGTATTAGGATTGGGGGAAGGGGAGGGAGAAGAGGGTTATAAGTCAGAATGAGTATTAAACTCATCCAGTTCAATGAGTGTCTACAACAAGGGGCAAAAGTGGTGTATTGGAAAGCAGGATGGACTAAAAAAAACTGAGGGACTTGCTTCGAATCCCATTTCTCCCACTTGAGTGACAGTTTCCTGCCTTTATCTCCCTGAGCCTCAGTTTTTTGTCTGTAAATTGAGGGGTTAAATTATCTCTAAGATTCCTCTCAGCTCTAAGTCTTATGCCTGAGGTGCCATACCATGTAAGTGCAGAGACTTGACCATACTCTATAAGCATCACATGGATTTTTCTAGGATGAAAAGGGGGAAGGCAGGGATAGCCCACTCCCCCAAAAAATTAAAGACAAAAAGACCCTTCCTCCAGCTATAGATTCAAGATTCCCTCTACAAACAAACCATTTTCCTCTACCTCAAACTTCAATGGACAAACACTGGCAAAGCCAGCTGGATAGGAGACTTCAGACAGAGATGGGAAGGGCGAGTCCCCGCTAAAGTACTTGCACCAGATTTCGGGAAAGCCCCACTAAGAGGGGGAGGGGGACCCGACTTCAAGTCACCAAGATGCCACTGCTCTAGCCTACCCAGAAGGCTAGGTTTTCAGGGCAGAAACTGGAGGTGAAGGTCAATCAGAGGATAGCCAGAGTTCCTGTTTTGAGAGAAGAGCAATTGTGTCAAGAAGGAGCATGGCTGAAGTCATCTAAGCCATGTCTGGCTGGCTGGAGTGTGTTGCTGTGACCTCTTCTACTGGAGGCTAAGAGGGTCAGTTCTCCCTACTCCCTTGCTGCAATTCAACTCCAAAATTTACAGATGAAGAAACTGAGGCAAATTAAAGTAAAGTAAAAAATTGCCACACAGGACCTAGGAGTGTGTTCCAGGTCTGGCACCAATAGCTCTCAGGAAAAAGGCAACAGGGCTGTTCCATTAACCCCATCCTGGAGGCCTTAACTAGGCCTCAGTCAGCTACCCTCCCCCCCAGCAAGACCATTTCATTGGATCGCCTTTAAGGTGGAGGGCCTAGAGACTGGGGCTTCTCTCCCAGGCCTGTAAGAAGACACATCTGGATTCACCAACACCCTATTCCAAAGAGGCTGCTTCTTGTGTTTCCAGGGTGACAGCACCTGCCCTGAACCCCCCCCCCCCCAGGTCCCACCATGGCAGAAGAGAAGAGGTCACAACCCTCAACTTTGAAAC